AAAATATTGCCAATCTTTTCTAAATTGTTACAAAGTATGTTGCACTGATTTGATTGAGTTGTATTCTTTCGTTAAATGCAGAAAGTCCAATCTAATTTTGAATCACATTATCGACAAGATAATATGGAAATCAGAGAATTATTCTCTTTTGGGAAAGTGTTCCTTCAGAATTGACGACACTTCTACCTGTCTAATAATTGAATAAATTCTATTTTTGATTTTAATCAATGTAAATTTTTCTATAAACCTACTCGTTTCTTTTTTCTTTCCTCATTTAGACACTTTTTTTTTTTGTTGCTGTTTCCGTCTAAAAAATAATTAAAAAGCACCAACCACTCTCATATTGATCATCTTTGCAATTTCAAGAAAAATGAACAAAGTGAATAATGATTATATAACCTTTTTTATCCAGTGAATCAAAATAAAGTTTGCTTATTACATGTGGTTACATAAACAAGTCCAAAAAAGAAAATAATTTCGTAGTTATACATTGTCCATAAATATCGATAAAATAAGTCTATGAGACTTTATCCTATTATTCGATATGAACAATTATTTTCTCTTCAAGGAATCTATTCTTTCTCTATTCAACCAAAGCAAGCAAGTGAAAGCGAGTTTCTTGACATTACTTTCATTCATTCCACTTACGAATGCATCAATTGTCAACGAAAATTATAAATCTGAAGATGATGTGTATGATGCAATTATTAACACATTCTTTCCAGTATTTTTGTCATTCTGTTCAGTGTTTCAGGGAAAACTGGACCAATAAAAAATGTGCTGTTGCCATTATTGGATGATTTATTATACAACATTGTCACTTGAGTGATTCCGCTGGTAGTTTCTTTGGCCTACGATGATTTGCAGAGTATCAAGATATTTTCATTTGCATGTAACTTGTGCGGTAGACGCGATAATTATGTATCTTTTATATTTATCTTCATTTTCTTGATATATTTTCCAGCTATAGTCATTCCAACATTCTGGATTATCATTATTACAACTAGACATCTTTTTGATCCAATTAGTATAGTAGTATTCCTTATATTATTTGGGATATTGCTAGTTACAATACTCATTGCTATTTCTCTTTTTCCTGGGTGCTTTCTTCATTGTCTTTTTCTTTGTTTCTTTTGATCCTTCATTATTTTTAGGTTCTTTTCTTCGTCTTGAATCACTTCCATCTGATTGTATGTCCATTGCTACACCTGTTCCTTCTTCAGTAGTCTTCTGTTTCTTTGTTTCTACAGGTAACATTAACTTTACTGTATTACCTACAACCATGTCTGCCAACATTGGTTGTTGCTGAGTATTATTATTGGTATCAATTCGCCAAAAAAAAACCCCCAATAGGATAAATAATTAATGTGTATGTGTCGATCAAATCACAAACTTCTTTTTTAAAAAAATTTTTTAAAAATGTCATCAGGAAATAATAGAAGGAGAAAAGAATTCATTGTTGATGTTGCTGGGTAAGTGTTTTAAGGATGGTGGTGGTTATCACCCGCCACTCATTTAAAACATATCTTTTTAAAAAAAAACCACGTAAAGTTTTGGCCGATTAATTGAGCTACACCAACACCAAAGTCTGATATTGTTGTAGCAAGTGCAAGTCAAAATGTAATCATTTTAGAAAAGAACTATTGTGCTGAGTGGCTTCGTCATTAACGAATGATGTAATAGTAAATAAATAAATATATAGTTTGACCATATCCATAAATAAAACTCATACAATAAAAACAATAATAAGGGTTTAGATGACTGGTTATAATAATGATATCACGTACATCACTGTTGACAATAAAATGACGGCAGAAAGATAATAAACCTTATATATTTTGTAAAAAGAAAGTACATTCCGGCCAGACTAAATTCAATACTGTCGAATTTGCGCATTCAAGTAATTAGTTAATCTCCACTCATAATGTTTATTCTTGACTAGCTGATAACAATTAAGTTAATTAATTCTGTAATTTGGGATGTTTGAATTGCTCCTCATCAACCATTTGGATAAGAGAAACAAAAAAAAGTCCAGAATGATTATCCCTTCATCAGTTCAACCTTTTTGTGTCTCCTTATGGCTTCGAACGAATCAATGAAATTCGCATTGACTAATTTTTGATTTGTTTCATTCGAATCGTGCATTAATTCGATTTGACTTTGTTCGAATCTAATTCGAATATATACCATATGAAATAATTTGAATTCCAAAGAGTTAGTCGCCTTTGGAAATAAATGGTTCCGAAAGTCAATAAAGATATTTACCTGGTATAATAATACATTTGGCTTCTCCATCTACAACTGTAAAATGATATCCACACTTCACTTCTTGTTCAAGTGTTACAAGACCTGTCATACTTTAGACACTCTATTTTATCTACAAAACGCGATTAAAATGGAAGTTGTTTATTTTAATTTACTTTGGCGAATATTAATTTTATTTATTTCTCAGTTTCTTGGTAAAGGAAGAGGAACAAAATCTTGTTTATTATTTAACTTGTATAACGAATTTTAACTTAATTTTCTTTCCAGTTTGATAATAAATAATATCAAAGAAAATTTCATTACTTAATGTATTTCAACGAATTTTATATGTAAAGCAAAAAAAATTTTTATAACGCGAATTTAATTATAATTCGCTGAGAATGTAATAATAATGTTATGAATAAATATAGTTAATGTCTCAAATTTATTATTCGTAAAATTACTAATAGTGTTGGCATTATTAGTTTAGAAATGGTTTAGGAAATAAGTCGCAAAATAATGATATATTTTTTTTTTTGTTATACAGTCAAACTTCATTCAACGAATCTTACTTCAATGAATTATAAATAAATTCGCGTTATAACAAACTTTTAAAATTTTTGCTTCACGTATAAAATTCGTTGAGACGTGACAAGTGATTTTCTTGTGTATTTTTAAGGGTATATGCAGGTTGAATACAGTACACTTCGTGCAGTGAGTATATTACGAACATAAGTAGAAGAATTTGAGTACAGTAAGTACAATTATATAGGTCCCACACACCCAACCCCAAAAAAGGCATATAAGCACGATTCTTCTCTTGATCTGTGTTCAGAAAATTTGATAATTTCATCTTCAGGTACATCATCATTATTTCGTTTAAATACTCCCATTTGATTATTTTTTTCAGTATATAACGATAAATTTAACCCACCGTCTAAACATCTAGAAAAACTTTTCATTTCAAGCTTATATGCATCACCTCCTCTTAAACCACATAATAAACTAATTAGAAAGAAATTCTACGTATAAGGCTTTCGTTATTATTGCTTTGCATTTGGAGGATGATCTAAAATTTGTTGAATTACTTTTTTAGTTAGTGGTGATGCTTGTTCCGTTTTGCCACATCAGTTGACTTTATCTACGCCCATCCCCCTCCTCTTAGTAGAAGCATCAAATTCTCGATACCATTATTCCCAGATCAGAGGTACAGGAAGGATATAAAAAGTCAGAGCCAGGTTCGTCAAACCAATCGCTGTTATACTTACTCGGGAGTAAATGCTGGATGGGCGATCAAAAGTTTCATTTTTCAGCAAATTGTTTGGATTCAATTATTTTGCTATTCTCGTGTGTTATCTTTCATGAGAGTGAGTAAATATACTTTTTTTTTTTTTTTTTTTACTGATTTAATTAATTAAACCATATCTTGCCATAATTAAGCTCCCGTTACGATATACAGTCGAATCCCGTTACAGTGAGTGAAAAATTGCATATGGTTTACTTTGGTCGTGGTGAAATAATAATGTTCATGTCATAAGAAAAGATTTCACTATATAATGGAAAATCGTAACAAATATACGGATTTTTTTCAATAAATTATTTCTTTGAGAATTGTTTTTGAAAATTTGATCTTCCTGAATTTTTTCTTGTTTCCTTTTTTTCTTAATAAAGTAAAACTTTTTGAATTCAATTCTACTAATATTTTAACTAATATTTTAACGAGGCTATGTTACCTACCACCATTACTATTTGTTGCTACTGATAATAATAAAGTATTACAAATATTAAAGCGGCTTGGATTAAAAAAAAAATCAAATTATAATAATTTTAGGACTTGTACTACCGTTGAAAATTTACCAAGCCCAATTGCACAATTGCGAAGCCTTAAAGAAAAATAATTTTTTATTATGACATAAAAGGAAATTAAATAAATAAATGCCATCTCGAGAATACAATCACACATTCTTGATCTCCAAATACGTAATTAGGGCTTTTGTTTTATTTTGGATACAACTGTAGATCGATGAGGTACGCGGAGAGGCTATGTAAGCATATAAAGATTTTTTTCCTTGCGGAAAAAAAAGCAAAGCCTTCGATTGGATAAATGGTTAAATTGATTATATATAATTATTGACTATAGTAATAAAAATCATAGAGATGTCGAGATTAAGGAAAGGAAAGGAGAAGGCTTAAAGACAGGACGGGGGATACGAAATCATTAAAAAAAAAACGTGGCTATGAAAACTACCGGATCAAGGAGAAGGCTTAAAGACAGTGATGTAAAATCTATTAAAAAGACGTGGCTATGAAATATTTTTCTTGTATATTTTATAATAATAACAAAATTTATTCTTTTTTTTTTAATTATCACAATCGAATCAATTAACAATTAATATAGTAAATAAATGGCTATGTACAAATTTATTCTTGGGCTTTGCTAAAACTCGATTATTCAATGTTAGTAAATGGTGGCTTTTTTTTCCTTTATTAAACAAATATACTAAGAGATAATAATAATTCGTTAGTAATACTTGGGAATCAAAACATCTATATAAACACGCAAATTCTCGTCAACTTCCAATTTCTTTCTTCACTTCAAAAAAGTAAATAATAATAAATAAATAAAATACAATAAAAAAAAAAAATAATTTCATTTAAAAATGAAGTTTAATCTTAGTATCTTATTTTTAATTGCCATGTTCATCGCCTTGGTCTTTGCTGAAAGACCAGAGGAAGATAATGAGGAGGATATCGAAGGTAAAAAAAGTTATATTATTCTCTAATCCAATCAAATAAAAAACCACCATTTTTTTAATAATAATTATTATTTTTACAAAATAAAATAAGTCGAAAAACGGGACGCTAACCCTGATCCATACTACAATAAATACTACAAGAAATACTACAAACGTGAAGAACCTACTGATGATGAAGAAGAAAAAGATCTCGAAAAACGTGACGCCAACCCTGATGCATACTACAAGAAATACTACCATCATTACTACAAACGTGGTGAAGAAGAAGAAGAAAAAGAAGAAGAACCTACAGAAGAAGAAGAATCTAAAGAAGATCTCGCAAAACGTGACGCCAACCCTGATGCATACTACAAGAAATACTACCATCATTACTACAAACGTAACGCCAACCCTGATGCATACTACAAGAAATACTACCATCATTACTACAAACGTGATGCTGATGCTGATGCATACTACAAGAAATACTACCATCATTACTACAAACGTGCTGCTGATGCCAATGCATACTACAAGAAATACTACCATCATTACTACAAACGTGATGCTGATGCCAATGCATACTACAAGAAATACTACCATCATTACTACTAGATACGAAAATTATAAATTAATAATTTTATTATTATTATTATTAAATTATTATTATAAAATTTTTTTTATTTAAATATCAACGTCTTCAACCTACTTCCTTTATTTTCTTTTTTGTATAAAATTATAATTTTTTACTTCTTTCTTTCTATTGTATATAATATATATATTTTTTTTTGTAGTTTATATATTATATTTTTAAATTCTTCATGTCCTATCCTTTTTTTTCTTTATCTTTCTTTCTTTCTTTGTAAATGTTCTTTATTTATTCTTTTAAAAAAAATGTACGAATACATAATTATATATAAAATATATATTAAAAGTCGGTTGAAAAGTTCTATTTAATAAAAAAAAAACTTAATAATATTTATACCATTAAATCTCATGATAGACCATTTTATAAGAATTGTACGAATATATATTAAGTCGGTTGAAAAATATTTATACCATCAAATCTCATGATTGACTATTTTATAAGAATTTTTTTTATATATTTATTTTAAACTTCATAATAAGACCAATATTTACATATTTAATAAATTTATATTTAACAAGTATTGTTAAATAATCTATCGCAATGTTATATAATTTGCCTTGAATATTATTTATTTTGTTTTACTCGACTCATTCGTTTTATATTGACACTACCACGAAGACAAAGAACAAGGTGGATGGTTGATTCTTTTATAACCAGAAAGAATACAATTATTTATCCACAAAAAAAATTTAATCTTTGCTAAATCATTTCCTTGTTTCGCTTTTGTTTTGCAGCGTCAATAGTATCAAATAATTCAATTTCAAATGTGATTGTTTTACCGGCAAGTGTTTAATAACGAATATTTGCATGTCGCCACGAAAACGAAACACAAAGTGAAGGGTTGGTTCTTTTTGAATGTTATAATCAGAAAGAGCACGATCGTCTGTCTTTCGATTGTTTTCCTGCAAATATTAAACGTTGTTGATCTGGTAGGGTGCCATCTTCCTTGCCTTGAATTTTTGATTTACGGTATTGATGATATCAGAGGATTCGCACCAAATAAAGTGTAGATTCTTTTTGCTTTACCGTATTAGAATTGACGGTGATAATTTACCAATGCATATCCCACAATTTTGTTCCTTAATTAAAAAAAAAAAATGAAAATACCAAAAATACCAACAAAATCCACTGTAAAAGAAAAGAATGTCTTGGTGTAAGTTTTGTTTAGAAAAATGTTATTTTGGTACTAAATTAAAACTTTAGATTTACTACTATTACCACTATTATTACTTTTTTTCGATTAATTACTAAGATGTCGCAATGATCAATGAAAAGAGTAGCAGGTGGTAGTAGCAATGTAAAATTAGCGAATAGACAAGTAAAAATGCAAGAAAATAAATTAAGAGTTTCTTTATTAGCAGGAGCGCCCACTCATTCTTGGGGTTAAAGTTCTCTATTGGAAAAGAGCAATAATAAAGATATTTATGATTTTTTTTAAAAAAAAAATTTAAAATCAGATTGGAGAACACTTTTAGTTTTTCGTGGGAAGTCACATCAAACGAACATATTATGAAGTCAGGCTATCAGATTTGCAACCATGACAAGTTTTAAAGTTCTTAAATTACTATATATAATTGTAATATTATTTATTGTATTATTGTTGTTGGGATAAATTCTGAATAAAAAAACCAAGTTTTTTTACTGACATGTTTCTTTCTCTCAACACGATAAAACTTTAATTAATATGTTTTTTATCGTTCTGCGAAAAAAGAATTTTACTATCAGCGAACGGTTTAAAACCATGATCATTGAATATTCAAAAAAGAAATTAGAATAATCTCTAATTTGAGATCGTGATTTCGATAATTCATTCGCTGCATTACCAAATAGTAACTTCAATGAAATTGTAGAAAAGTAACGAGTAGAACGAATGGACAAATAAATAAATTTTTATTTTTATTTTTTAACATCAAGTTCAACTAATTTCCAACCATTCCTAGCCTTTTTCAATCTTAACCATCTACCTAATTTATGTTCTTGTCCAACACCAGCTAAAATATAAGTTTTGCCTTTAGTTGTAGTAATCATTTTTGTCATCTCATCCTCATATTCACCATTTTTTTCCTTGACATCATTATTATCATTTATATCTTCAATGTCCATAACACCTTCACCATCAACTCCATTTTTATCATCACCATCCATCTTATTAGCTAATAATAAATTTTTTGATTTTTTTATAGTTGGTGTAATAAAATGTAAACAATTAATAAATCCCAGTATTGGTATCTTGGCAAGTGGAACAAATGAGCGAATATTATTAACCAACTTCCAAAATCTAATATATCCATCCCATGAGCCAGATGCAAATAAATCAGAATGCCTAATAGTTGTTAACGCTGTGATCCAATAAACATCACTAGAAACTGCACCATTATTACTACTATTACTACTACTACTACCGTTGTTATCGTTATTATTATTGTTTTCTGTGTCATTTATTGGCACGCCATGTGCCAAGTAATAAACAAATATTGGTTTCTTTTTATTTATATTCCATAATGAAATGGCTCTTAGAAAGAATTAGTTTTATATGAATAAAATTAATAATACACTGACCAGACTAAATAAATAAATAGGCATGATTGATTGATTAATTAATTGAGATACATACCCACTGTCACCACCACTAAGAAAATTATCTTCATCTATCATCGCCACCACATCAATACTTCCTTCTTTATACACTCCTCCTCCAACCCCATTTCCATTATTACCTTTATTATTATTATTTGTAGCAGTATCTCCTGTGTTTTTTGACCCTCCTCCTCCTCCATTTTCTTTTTGGTTTTGTGTAATAGATGTAGGTGTAGTAGGAGTGAAATTTGCTCCTTTTGTATCACCTCTGAAAACCAATTGTGTTTGCTCAACAATCTTCCAAAGTCTACATGTACGATCACGAGCACCAGCAGTGATGCATCGTTCTTTTGAAATAGTATCTATTGACATTATTTGATCTTGATGTCCAAACCTACCCGCATTATATATTGTAAAAATTACAAAAAAATTTTTTTTAGAGTAGGAAAGGAAAAAATTGTAAATAGAGAATAGATAGATATCAATCAATAGATATGGAGATAAAAGGAAAATAGTTACAATGTTTCTATGAAGCCCAATTGATCAATATCCCATAATTTGATGGTACGATCGAAGGAAGCGCTGTATAGTTGATTGTGACCTTTACGAAATACAAGCCCCTTAACAAAAAATAAAAAATATTGTGTTTATATTTATACGTGTATATGTATATATAGTGTGTTTGTTTATACTTACAGAAACAGAATCTTTATGTTGTAATAAACATTTTATAAATTTATTTTCCTTAACTGACCAAATATTGATCTTTTTGTCTGCACCACCACTAGCCTTACCAGATAACAACAACAAAACAACAAAATTGATTATAATTATAATTACATTAATAAAATAAACAAATAAAATTAACATTTATAAAAGAGCACAAACCAAATAATTTTCATCGGAACTTATTGCTAATGACAAAATATGTTTAGTATGACCATCAAAATTTTTAATTTCTTTTCTACCACCAGGAAATACGTGCAATTTCTTCCCAGTTGCTAAATCCCCTATAAATTACATATGCACACAATAAATAAATTGTTTGTTTATTCATTATTTTTTTTTTTTTAAAGAATATTTTTTCAGATAGTTTCTTACCTACATTTTATTATTGAATGATCTTTTGAGGCGGTGTAAAAGTATTGACCTGACTCAGGGACTGCTAAACAAGTAACTGATAAATCATGACGACCGGATTTGATTTTGGCTGTTGAATGCAATGCAACTGACGAGAAATCAAATTTGTCAGCCACAAGATGATGTAATCGGCCCGCTCTATCCAACGCATCATCTCTTAATCGTGCGGCAATCAAATCTCGATCAATCTCTTTTGCATCAAATCCCATTATTTGATCATCTTCATCATTATTTATTATTTCTTCTTTGAGAGTATCTAAATATCTTTTAGCTAGACGTCTTCTTTTCTCTGCAATGTCTCTAATCTTATCTTCTTCGGCTTCGCTATCACTTCCATTATCAACGTCAAGGTTGTTGCTGATTGTTGTTGTAGTATCAAGATCAATATCATCCTCTTCTTCTTCTTCTTCTTCTGAGGTTATTTCAAGGTCCATATCATCAATTCCACCAGTTCCAATTTCGTCGTCATCGTCATTACTACTACTACCATCATTGCTAACGATATTACCTTTACCTTTATTTTTCTTATTAAATTTAATGTTATTAGTTTTGTTATTTTTGCGTTTTTTATTCGTTGTTGAAACAAAAAATGGATCAAAAGACATCTTTTTTGAAGGAAATAAAAAATTTTTTTTTAATCCGATTATTTTATTTATGTTAATGATTTACAACATACATTTCGATCTAAACTACACGTGATTATTATTATAGTAATTAATAATTACTAATGCCTTGCCATTTTCATAATAATATAACAACAATAATAACAAAATTAATTAATTAGTTGAGGAGAGAAAATAATAATAATAATAATAGTAGTAGTAGTAATAACAATAATAGTAGTAACAATAATAATAGTGGTAAGAATAATAATGAAATTCCTTTCAATTCTTACTTTTTTCCTTCTTCAAGATTTCTAAATGTAAAAATCATTTATAACCAATTAACCAACTACAAACCACCTTTCATTCAATGATATATATCTTTTTCATAAGTGGTTGTAACAAGTCACGGTGTTGTGTTACCCCTGAAATCTTACATTTTAACAAAGTGACCAGACCTACCATGAGGTCATATTAATGTTACAATTACGGCATAATAAATAAATAAATAAATTAATTAAATATTGAACTATTTAATTAAGCTATTTCTCTTCCTTTATTTTTTTTTTTTAAAAATAGAAAATAGGATTATTTATTGAGGGAAATAATAATAATTATTATTATATTAATATTATTTTATTTCATTAATATTAATTTATTAATATTTCTTCATTTTTTCATCTTTTCACTTTCCTTTTTTTTTTCTTTTGAAAATAAAATATTTTTTAGAAAATATTTTCATAATTACTTACTACCTATACTTCCAATATCCTTTCAACATCCATCACCCTAAAACCTCCCTTTTTAACGAATTCATCACTTGAACCAATCAACTGTTTGACAAATAATCTCTCGGGAAAAGAGTCCATTAAAAATTATAAAGTTCTTTTTTTTTTTTTTTTTTTGATAAAAAAATTATCAAGAAATGGGTAAAAAAGCAAAACCAGATCTTCCACTTCACAAAGTTATTATGGTTGGTTCGGGTGGGGTAGGAAAATCAGCCTTGACTTTAAGATATATGTATGGTGATTTTGTTGAAGAATATGATCCAACAAAAGCAGATTCTTATCGTAAGAAAGTCACCTTGGATGGACAAGAATGTCAAATTGATATATTAGACACAGCAGGACAAGAAGAATATGCCGCTGTATCCTTTTAAAATCGAAACATTTAAAATGTATATAATGAATTATAGTATGCATTAAAGATTATTGTCCTTAACATTATTTCTAATGATGATGATGATAATAAATAATCATCAATATTTTCAATAAAGATACGTGATAATTATTATCGTTCAGGTGAAGGATTTCTTTGTGTATTCTCTATTTGTGAATATGAATCATTTGTGCATACCCAAGATTTTCGAGATCAAATTTCTCGTGTACTTGACGATGAAACTGTAGGTTTATTTAATATGAAATCAATTGACGAATAGAATTTTAGAATATTAGAAAGTTTTGTTCTAAAAAACATTTAATATTTTTTTTTTTTTTAAAAAAAAAAAAAACCGAAATCTCAAATTCTAAACTAATTTTTCTTCTCTCCCAACCAACCAACCAACCAACCATTTATTATTCAAAAGGTCCCTTTCATTCTAATTGGTAATAAAGAAGATTTAGATCAAATACGTAAGGTGTCTAAAGAAGAAGCCATAGCCAAAGCAAATGAATGGGGCTGTGCATATTATGAGACATCAGCGAAAACAAGATTAAATGTTGAAGAGGTTTATAATGAATTAATGAGAAAAATAAAAGCGAGAAAAGATGTACAGAAAGAGAGAGAGCGGAATGACAAAAGGAGTAAATGTGTGTGTTTATAGTGCGATTCATATGGGACGATAATTATTATTATACGGACTTGAATTATTTAGTATAATATATATAATATGTTAATATAGCAATGATAGTAATTTTATTAAATTTTATTTAAAAAATATATATATATAATATATATAATTAATGATAGTGTTGTGCGTGCGTATCAATTTAAAATCCACGCGCGTGAAATTCAAAATCAGCCAATCAGAATTTGTATCCAAACACTCCAACACAACTGGAAATAATAGTTCCAATGTACTTTCAATTCGTTAAAGAATTGAGATATAATCACCTTAATAATCAGTTTGAATGAAATTTCTTATATTCTATATATATATATGTATATATATATATATATATATATATATATATATTACATCTTTTTTTTTTCAGAGATTTTGAATATAATAGTTCCAATGTAATTTCAATTCTAACGAATTAATAATAATAATCAATTTGAATGAAATGAAATTTTCTTATATGTCCAGCCACACTTCATTGTAACAGGGTTTATACTGTAATGTAAAAAGAAACGAATCACATAATCAATTAAGATGATGCAAACAAATCAATAGATAATAACAACAACATTTATTTATTTCCAAAAATATAGATGAATCATACTTTTAAACTTTTCAAATGATTTGTAATCTCCTCGTCTTCATATTCCTCGTTTACCTCGTTGTGTTCTTTTTCAATAACTCTTGATTATATTAAAGCTAGAATGATGCAATTTGATTGCTTTGCATTTCTCCAAAAATCTATCTGACATGTTTATAGTGTGTTTCCGGCATCAACTCGAGCTTGGGATGGTATACTTGATCAGTTGCTCTTCATGTATTAAATTTGATTTTTGGTAATTTGCCATGAATTCAGCCAATCACAAATAATATATTTATTTCCTTCCCTTTAAAAAATATAGATGAACCATACCTTCTTAAAAAATTCGATTTAGAATAGCTCTTATCACCATTTTTTTTTGGCATTGTTAACAAGATAAAAAACAAGCTGATGTGACAAATCAATCACACCGGCTTTATTAATTAATGTGTTATTATTATTTTTTAAGATTTATTATGTTACCAGGAAGATTGATCGATGAAGGAAATTTCAAGCGTATTTATATTTCTTGGAGTGTTACAGATAACATGACTTTTTACATGTTTTGTCCAATAACATATACATTAGAATAGAAAGAATGAATGATTACTAATGCTACAGTGTGTGTTTCAAAAAAAAAAGGCGCGCACAAAAAATCACACATCTCAACAATTATGCAAGATGGATAAACAAAACTAGATTCATGTGAAAGCTTATCAAATACTTTATTGAATAAAAAAATAAATAAATAAGAAATTCTATTACCGTTTTTTTTTTTCACATCTCCGTTTCATATACATATAAATCTCTTCGATTGTCCCTTGGCTTCCTTTTTCAACGTTATTTTTTATGATACACCACATATTTTCAATGGATTAAGGTCAGCAGGATTGTTGGATGGTCAGTACATTACACGAATTCTTTTTTCAGGATATAAGTTTTTGCAACGCGTGAATTATTTTAAAATAAATTTGCTCCTTGCTAAAAACGCGCCATTGATGATGATGTCATTATATAAAAGAAATTAATAATCGAGACCCAGGTTGGACCTCAATTCACTATCTTCGAACAGTAATAACATCCGATTTCTTCTTGGTTTTTATGATTAGCATGACCTTCTACATTACAAACACACTCTTTTTTTCTACACATGCTTCATATAAAACGATAGAAAGATTAGTGATGGTGGCCAAAACTAACCCATAGTTTAGGCAATTAGGCAATTTCGGTTTTCGCTCACGATCATTTTTTGGCGAAACTCCTAAACCATGAGCAACTATGGGTGAAGCTCCTAAACTGCGGGCGAAAACGAACGGATAATTAATTTAACAAAGGTGTTTTATTAGACAAAAAAAAAAAAAGAATTAATTTGCTTTGTCATTAAATTTATATTAACTGTTCTGCTTTACTCTCAAGCAAGGCTCTGGTTTATTCTTTAATTACCCGATTGATTAATTTTAATTAATTTAAAATTCATTGATAAAAAAAAACTCACTTGGCCAAAAAAATTATGGTTAATAACTAGACTGCGTATATAAGAAATCAATATAAAAAAAACAATAAAATAATTTAAATGTATATAAAATTAAAATTAGATACTAAGTCACATGTCCGACATACGGATTAGACGGCACTTTGATAAATCCGTTTTATTTAGCTCATATTAATATTAATATGTTTGACAATTTAACCACAGTTTAGCCAATTTTAAAGTTTTGTCACTAGTTTAGGAGACTAAACCTGATTTTTGTGGGCGAAATTTGCTAAATAATTTCGGCCACCTAAAAGTTTCAATTTGAATAATATGCTATGTTTACGGCCAAGAACAATGTCTCGTATGTTAATTCTAGTTCGAAATAACAAACTTTATAAGTTTTTATCTATTCTACATTATCAAAACAAATAAGTTTTCTTCCTGTTAGCCAACCACATAATGTAGAAAGAAATGTATCATATAATTAATTAAGATGATTGCCAGAAATATATATGAATCATATTTTAGCGTTTTTAAATAATTTATCATATTCGTCGTTGTCGAATTCTTTAATTGACTATTTTGAAAAAACATTTTATAAATTTGATTTAGAATAGCTCTCGTCACCATTTTTTAAAAAAATTCACCCCTTTTCTTTCAGTAATTTCTATTTTAATTTTGTCCATTAATTATTGTTATTTAAATTTTTATGATTAGGCAAAATCTTAATATTCATTCCAATCCACAAACACCAACCCATTAAGAATTACACGAGCAAGTTATAATTAACCGTACAATATGAGCTACTTGATCTGTAGTCTTTTATATTCGACACCAAGTCCAGATATACTTTACACAGTCAAATATTCAAACTAAACCATATACACCTATACTACTTGAGGTGCACCTAACCAATAATTAAAGGTTAGCCAAACAGTTAATCATTAGAAAGGATTTGGGATCAATTACACTGAATTTATTAATTAATTACAGTCAAGACTATTTTATTACAAGGGGATTATTAACATTATTAATTAATTACTCTTTAACTCGAGCAATTTCATTTCTAAGTGTTGAAATACTTTTTGGAGTATTACAGATAACATGACTTTTTACATGGTTTCGTCCAATAAAATATAGAATAAAATAGGACGATTACGTTTACTATTGATCCGATATATTTATTGCTAAAGATAACGTCTTTGGTATCAATCCGAGCTTTTTGATGGACCTTGATTAGTTTTTTTGTTTTCGTAATTGGCCATTGTTTCTTCCTGTTAGCCAACCACATAATGTAAAGAGAAATGAATCATATATTTAATTAAGAAAATGCAAGCAAATCAATAGATAATAATATAATTATTTTAAAAAATATATATGAATAATACTTTTAACGTTTTTAGGTATTTGAATATATCAGCTTCATATTCATTTAATTCTTCATCGTTGTCGCTTAATTGACTATTTTGAAAAAAAAAATATTGATTTAGAATAGCTCTTATCGTCATTTTTTTAAAAATATTAAAAAATTATACTTACACATTAACTCTTTTCCTTTTGATAATTTCTGTTTTTCGTTTTGGCATTATTTTTTTAAAAAAATGTGGCAAATCAATCACACCGGTTTATTAATTAATTATAGTCAAAGACTATTTTTATTAGTGTGTTAAGATATTATTTATCATTAAAGGATTAATTATGTTATTGTCAAAAAGACTGATCGATGAAGGAAATTTCAAGCGTATTTATACTTCTTGAATATTACAGATAACATGACATTTTACATACACAGAATAGAATGTTTTAGAATGATTACTAACGCTAAATGCTAAAAACGCGTCATTGATTGATATAAAGGAAATTGATATCGGACCTCATTTTCTATCTCACCATGTAATCGATGACGCGTCTTTGGCATTGGTATTAGTAATTCTTTTACAACATTCTATGTATATTTTATTGGACAAAATTATGTAATACTCCAAGAGGCATAAATACGCTTGAAATTTACTACGTATAAAAATTATCTTCTTGGTACACAGCGAGTCTCAGTTTAGCGGATTTGGGGGGTTTAACAGATAAATTTTCAAAACTAAATTTTTCTATCTCGCTTCAACGGATTTAACGATTTTTCATATTAATATTAATATTAATATTAATATATATTCGGTTTACATTAAAATAATAATATGTCATTTATAATAAATTTCTCTCGATATTACGGATAATAATAATCTTTGCCTTTTTGGCTGGTCTATTTTCATAATAATAAGCGTAATAACGTAATTAATATTAACAACATATTAATATCACTAATGATACGAATAAAACAGCAATAAAACGAAACTTCTTATAGAAGTATCAAAAAAGCAAAACAATAGAGAAATCCACGAATTTACGTAAGCATCAATCAAGGTTCCTGTTTCGTGAATTCCCAGAACTTTTTTTTAACAATAAGTAAAATAATCTTTAATCAATGTTATCATGTATGATCTTATATAATTTATATATTTAAATATTCACGTGCAAAGAACGAGTGTTGGGTGATTTTAATATTTAGAATTAACTCCAATCCGTCTTTAATTGATTTCTTCGCTGACCGGTTTCTAACTAAGAATTGGTTTCGAAACCCTTATGCCTACATGAATTAAATCTATATTATTTCTTCTATAAAATTAGATGTTGAACGTGCAGAACTTCCAGAGACGGTAATTTAATGATTTAATAAATGGAACATGAAGGATATCTTTTCTCGTTACACGATATTAATGTCAACAGCAGCGTAAAGAGTTAAATCCTAATTTGGTAATAATTGTCTTGACTAAACTTGATTAGGCTTGACTTAAATAGTTTAGTCAGTTTAGCCAAATGCCAGTTTAATTTACGCGTCCAGCCCTGGTCAACAGGTGACCTTTATTTATCACAATTTACGTCACATTGAAGAAATTCTTTATTGGTATTACTAATATTACTAACGTTTTCTTACACAGAAAGTGAAAGTATTTTCCATATAGAAGACCGCCAATATGTTGAGTTTGGTTATGATGGCGGAAAGTGCTGAATGTAACTGCTGTCAAAGCAGGGGATACACATATTCGAGACACACCGCTTGCAATGTTGACCAACTTGTGCTTTTTCCTCATTCAATTCTGTTTTAAATCACATTTTCTTCTATCATCTATTAACACGGTAAGTAAGTTGGACATATTTTTAATATTTTCAATGTTACAACCACACGCATATCTTGATGGATAGCAACCAGAGAGGTTACGCCTAGAATGAAGGAATCCCTGGTATAATGACTGTTTGTATTAAGAGGAATTTTTTTCATATTGTTGTGACTTTGACTTGATGTTTCCATTCATTAATACCTCTTTTGAATATCAGATGAATGGATGAATAGATAGAAAAGTATTTTGAATACCATCACTATATATTATTATCACGACTATAAAAATTATGACTAACGGAATTTGATATGTACTTACATTAAATTTTTATAACTAGTTGAAATATTAAAATACTTGTGGCTATTCGAAATATTTATCAAGTATCGAGAGCATAGCGGACATTTGTATAACACTTTAGAAGCATTGTTTTAACTGGCTCTCTGAATATTTCGAGTATCCCTTGGTACAGCAAGTGCGGCAAATAAACAAGGTAAAGTATTAACAGATGGTCTTGATGTTTTAACTACTATTGGTCAAAGAAAAATAAAAAGGTATATATACGCTAGCTCATCATATATGAATTGATCAACAAGGAGACTTCCAAATTTTGACCAAAAGGTTTCATTCAATTATTGAATGAAAAAATGATTTACGTTTGATATATCTACATGTATGAGACGTGTTAAAATTTGGCGATTAGGTTAATTGTAAATTAAAAATTTTTGGTTTGACTATGAAATTATTAATTGTGCGTTACAAAAGTCATACTGCGATAATAATAGATTTTTTTATCTCGCTTTATCCAATTATTTCCGGGCAAGTGAACTCGGATTTACTAAAGAAAAATTGCCTTTACATAAACTGTTATAACTTATTTATCATACAGATGAAATTTTTAATTCTGAAAAATTGCTTCGAGTTCACAGAAACATGTCTCTACAACATAACAATACCATATTTTAAAAATATTCGTTAGCATTGATGATGGATGTACTTTTATATTCACTGGTCGATAAAGGATAAATTCATAAAGTTGGTTTACTGCTGAATGGCTGCATTCAGCCAACAAAAAAGCTATACTGATTTATCTATCCTAAAAAACAAAAAAAAATCGCGTTGTTACGTTATAGACAAGGTTTTTACGAGTTTGATTTTTTCTATAGCTGTTTTTGCTTCCAAATTAAAATCAAATATAAACAAATGCAAAAACAAAATATTGATATGTATAAAAAAAAAATCTGCATTAAAATAATTTTACAGCATGATCCCGTTTATATTGTCCACCACCTAATTCGGATAAATTAATTTGGGGTTAGAAATTATTAATATTAATATGATCCCTGTGTTTTGTGATCACATCAAATCACCAATCATAAAAATTTAACCTTGTTTCTTGTTCATTACTGGTTTTTTTATTTATCTACATATTTAATTAAACTTTTTTCTCTCTTTCAATTTACCATGACTTCAAAATATTCTATTGCATTAGAAATGAATGATCCTAATTTGCCAGATTCTACATGGCGGAAAAGTAATCCACAATCAAACAAGAATAATAACAACATTAATAATATTCGAAAGGTAGAAGAGGAAGGAAAGGAGGAGAGGGGAGACCTAGAATCAAATAATAACGGTTACAGCATTAGTGGTAATAATATCAAAAGTAATGGTCATAATAATGTAGTATTGGAAAAAAATCTAGATTTAGATGCTGAGACAAAGAGAAGATTGGCAAAACCTTATCCACTTGCTCATAATTGGACTTTTTTTCTTGATAGGTAATAATAATAATAATTTAACTGGTTTACGTGCAATATATTTTTTATATGTGCGCGTATATTTCCAAATAATTAATATTAATGAAAACAAAATCACACGCCCACCACAAATTGATTGAAGATTTGTTGCAAACGCCACTCCTGGTAAAAAATAAATTGTAACTAATTATTATAGTCTTTAACAGTATACTTTTTTATAAAAAATTCTGGATCATGATTTTAACTTTTTTAAATTTTAAATTTTATAAAAAAATTTAAAAATCAAACAGAAGAATACAAACAGAATCTTACGAACTTGGCAACTGTAGATACCGTTCAAGTATATTATTATTGTTAAGATTATTGTCAAGTATTTTAATTGATTGTGATATATATATATATATATATATTATTAACTATTATTAACTATTATTATTTAGAAATTCTGGTCAGTCTATAATAATATTCAAGGACCTGAACATTTACAACCAAGAGGATCTTTACATTTCATGAAAAATAATATTCTTCCAATATGGTAATATTATAAGATAATATGTTTATGTATATATATATATAATTATAATAATCATATATTCATACATACATACATACATACATACATATATGTATGTAGGGAAGACCCGAATAATGTAAATGGCGGAGCATGGTATTTTCGTGTGAATAAAACCGATTCAGCAAGGGTTTGGAGAGAATTATTAATGTTATTGATCGGTGAACAATTTGAAGATCATCTTCTCGAAGGTATTATTTGGCATATAATTTATATGACACGATAATTATTCATACACACACGCATACTCATACATATATATATTGTAGATGATGATATCTTTGGTTTAACTGTTTCGTCCAGGGCAACATCTGACATCTTCAATATTTGGAATAAGAATGCTGATGCAAGTCAACATTCAACAGTCTTGGAAAAACTGAAAACTTCTTTATTACCAACGGAATTACAAATGCCATACTATAAAGGTATTTTACTTATTTAAAGAAAGAAAAAAAAAAAGGAAAAATTAGAAATTAGTACGTTATTTTAATGATACTTACTTTATTCAATCTGTAGCTCACTCAGAACACGCGGCATTTAAAAAAACAGAACCTAGATTTAATCGGCAAAGATAGAAAATATAAAAAAAAATATTTATTTATAATAAATATTTTAACATTATTATTATTTATTATTATTGTTGTTATTATTTTATTAGTTAGTATTGATTATCAATATTGTATAGTAGTATAAAGTAGTATTAGTGTATATACAATTTAATTATTATATATGTTAATCGGTTTGTGTTTTTTAATTGGCTTCTGATTATTATTATTGGTATAATTATAATTCATTCCTTGTAACATATCAGTTAATTAGTTAATATTAATATTTCAAATTTATTATTATTATTTAAATATTAAAAGAAAAAAAAATATGTCATTAATTCTAGGCAGTCGATTCTTTCAAGTAAGCGATTATATCATTACGATCTTGTGCCTTTTTCAATCCAACAAATGCCATCTTAGTACCAGGAATATATCTAACAATTAAAAAAAATTTTTTAATAAATATCTCTTCCTCCCACATACACACACACACACACACACACACACACACACACACAAAATTCCAATAATAGTTATTGATTAGTTACTTTTTTGGGTTTTCAAGATAATCAAATAATGTATCTTCTCCCCAAATCACTCCTTTATTTTTGTTAGCATCTGTATAAAGAAATCCCGAAACAGTGCCAGATTTACGACCAAAAAGTCCATGAAGATTAGGTCCTACTTTGTTAGGTCCTCCTTTTTCAACTGTATGACATTGTGCACATCTGGTTTTAAAACTATATAAAAAATTATTTTTATTAATACGATAATATTGATATACTCTAGATGTTGATGTCAATACTTACAGGCTGGCACCTTTAGTGGCTTGGGCTTTTGCTATATATCACCGTTAAATGAATTTATATATATATATATATAACATGTACTATTATTATAAAAATCAATGTTTATATATTTTATATAAATTTTATTTTAACAAAACTTACAAGCATCAAAAGGCATTTTTTTTTAAACTTGAAAATAATAATAATAAATAATAAATTTTTTTTTTTATTATTGATCCGCACCTTTCCGAAATGAATTCATACTAATTTATACTAATGTTAATATATACTAGTAGTACTAGGAAAATATGGGAAGCATTTATCATGTGATTAATATTTAAAAAGAAAAATGGAAAATGGCTAAACTTTTTTAACAAGTTTATTTTTTTATGCGATAGAGCATCTATAAAGGTCAAATGGTTATCACATGTCCTTAAAAGCTTATAACACCTTATTAAAAAAGAAAGAGAAAAGAAAACCGTTAGAATTAAAGCTAAAGATCTAAGCTTCCATCGGTTTTATATTAGTTTATAAGGCTTCAAAGTTAGACCAACAAAACTGGACAAAGTGAACATTATCAATGATTTCAGGGATCAAAAATTTAGCAGTCACAGTAGTGAATTTGTCGATCATTGCGACAATAATATCTATATGAAAATTCAATCGGTCATATGAAAACTCGCCCAATTGCAATAAAAATTTCCAGATCAAGTAGTTAATTTATAAGCAACTCTTTTATTAAATAACATAAAGTAGAAATACGAACAACACATTGGTTAATCAATGAATGTGTGAATAATTTGGAAAATAGTTATTAATCCCAAGGATAAATTGACAAATAAAAATTTTAATTTTTAAAAGTATTAAATTTTTTAAATTTTTAAATTTATAAATTTATATTTATTAATTTGTCACCATTTATCTATATCATCTAATGCATTTTGTATATTAGATGCAACTTGATGTTTTTCTTGTGAATGTTCTTTTATTTCTTTATTATTTTCTAAACCTTCTTGAGATTCTTCTACTTCTTCAATTCCATCATCATCACTAAATGTGTCGACACCTTTTTCAAGCCTATGCAAAAATGAACTAACATTTTTTTATTCCATTTTTATAGTACTCTTCACAATGTTGACATGCGTATTCTATTTTACCATAGCAATGCCAATGAAAACCATGACCACAAATCAATACAGTGCCACCATCATTTTCATCTAAATTTTCATGGCAATTGTCACAAAGACCTGGTGAGGGGGAATCACATAGTTAGTAAGGTCATCTATTATTCTATTTACATCTTTATTTATTTTATTTTCCGACTTACCTAGAACATAGGCTTGTTTAATAATGGTTTCAACACTGTCATTAGGTGATGTATTTGCTCGTATCTGGCTGTGTAAATTTCAACAAAATAATAATTGAAGTTTACAGGAAACACTTTGATTAAATCTGCCATTGAATGTTATTATCTTCTCAATAGAAGACATCAGACAAGAATGACAAGGGAGCCTTGTTATGATTTTTACAGTTCCAGTTCAATGCAAAAATCCATATTCAAAAATGGTTTCAATGTATTCGTCAAAGGAACCGGAATGAAAGAGGACTACATATACACTAACCTACCATAAATATCCAACCACACAAGTTGTATAATGTCAAATGAAAAGAGTCCTTACTAAAAAAGTAACATTTTCTTAAATAAAACCTTTTTTACTTTACTAAGTAGATTTGTACTTGATATCAAAATCTCTAAATTACAAAAGCTTCGAAAGGTTCGGTATGGTATTGTCACCGATTAAATTCGGGAGAGCGTATTTTAATTGGTGATAACAATTATTTTTGTTTTGCGTGGATCAGAATGAA